CACGAGCAGTTATCGCTGATTTATGGACCAGCAACTCAAACGACGTTCTAGTAGAGGAAGAAGCAAAAATGTTTTGAACACCTCAAACGATACCCCTTCATGACAGTCACACAGCCTTATTGTACGAATTCTCCGGACTTGTCGGCGACTGGACACCCCGCGGCCCGTAATCTCGCAAAAGAGTCGACATCCTCAGGATTCTCATCAACGAGCATGGGAAGTCGCCCTGGGGCGCTTCAGGCTGCGCTATGCACATACAGAGGGAAAATAAAAATTCGCGGCACTATTTACCCTTTACTGCCCCAGTCATCCGAAATCAGGCCAGTTCCTGACCGACTTTTTTCTCCGTGGGCAGATTTTGCTCAAATGTTGTCTCCGGGGTAGTTTGACCTCCAGAATACGAATATCACATTCGCTCAGCCCGAAACCCGCGCCACAGGCGCCAATGATTTGGGGTATTTTGGCGCCGGTGCCCGTGGTGCGGGCGCCAGGAGGTTATGCGATATTCGTGTTCAGCGGGTCGAACTACCCCTGGAGCCAAGTTTTCAGCAAATTCTGCCCACGGAGAAAAAAGTCGGTCAGGAACTGGCCTGATTTCGGATGGCTGGGGCAGTAAAGGGTAAATAGTGCCGAAGTTGCAATAGCCACGCGTCTCTAACCTCTTTATTTCACTGTATGAAGTGACAGAAGTGCACATTCTCTGAGAATGCGGACTTGGATGCCGAATGCACGGAGCATGGACCGTTTGATCGCCGAAACTGTCTTTAATCAGATACACGGTGTAAAGAGTGTGTCCGGTTCAGTTTTGAAAGGGTCGAAATCGATATGAAAAATCTGGTTTCATTCGGAAATTGTTCAATCCGTAATTGAAGTAGTTTACTTCTGCCCAAGAAAGATGGGCCTACAATGATGCAACTGGGAGAGAACTTCCAACTTCTACTCTCCCACGACAAATACCCTTCGCGCTTGGCGTGTAGCAGCAACGAATTCCTTATGAGGCATAGCACATGAGATATAGTATCTAAGATAGTGTAGTAATAGTAATATAAGATAGTTCTCATATGGGATAGTATCCTACATGTCAACCACTTTAACTGGCTCACGTCGCTCCTTGCGACTGTGTTGATTAAGATCACTGTGAGCGTCTCAAGGTCTGCGCATGCTTTATCGTTTGAATAGCAAGCTCAATATTGTAGTCAACAGCGGTATGAAAAGCAGCCTATTTTTAGCAGCCAACAACTTATAGATACGTGCAATTTTTCTTGACTAGGAACTTGATCTATTTTTAATGTATGCAAATTTTCACAGCCCACTCTCTTTTCATTGGGAACTGAACGAAAAACGCTCCTAAATGGAATTAACAACCAGATAAATGGCGAACATTTGAGAGGAGAGAGAAACGTCCTTTCCACAAACGGAGAGAGGTTCATATTACTTGAATCTATACATATTTATTTATTCAAATACACCAGAAGGTGCGCCGCATAGTTACGAAGAACAAACTCATTGCACAGGAACACAGTTAGAAGGAAAGAAAACAAATAAAGCTATGAATATAAAAGAATAAAGATAACAGAGTGACCGAAATTCGGGTAGCGTGACGTGGTAGTGGGAATGAGATATGAAACTTTCATTGTGCCAGGTGGATAACGTTGTTTTCCCCATCCAGCAGATGAAAAAGTCCCCTCACGAGATCCTGGTCCTTGGTTCAGAACGCAAAGACGAGACGGCACTACTGGGGCTTGCTGACAACTTAACCCGTTACGAACGAATTCGTCCGGGACCCCAGGCGAACGAACAAGGGGGACCTCAAGCGAGAGGGTTCATCACCCTTCAAGCTCATCAAACAACTAACCAGCACAACTCAAGCAAGATCGCCCACGGATACTTATGTTTAAATTATCTCTAACATCTCTATCAAGGGAGGTCGTTCAGGGCGTGGTGAGCTTTTTCAAAATGGTCTTGTGCATATTGTAGGGGCACATACGAGGACCAGAAAACTGAGGTTCATTTTCGCTGCGCGCTTCTACGAATAAAAAAAACGTAAAAAATAGGTCGATGGTTCGGATCCCACCGAGGACAAAATTTTGCTTTTCTACAATTTTTCATTTTTTGGATCCATGTTTGTCTAAATAATTGGTCCTAACAAAAACATTCACGATAAACTGAACAATCCTACTTTTATGGAGCAAAACTGCTTTTTCGTTCGAATTCGTTAGTATGCACAGACTCAGCTCTTCGGCGCTATGCCGGTGCCAGATGGCACTGGAACCGAAAATAAAGTCTAGAATCGTGATCAGGACTGTCGATTACCCCTAGGAGCAAGTTTTGAGCGAAAAATTTTTGACTTTTTCGGGTTGTAGGTGACCGACCATTTGGTCGGCAGTGTGAGCGGAGTCTCACATCTTCGTAACAGCGATGCGTATCGTTGACGCTACGGACCCCGGACAACCCAATAAGCAAACCCAAGAAGGTCAAAACAATTGTTTTGACCGAAAATTCGTTTTTAGTGGTAATCAGTGGCCCTGATCACAAATATAACACCTATTCTTGGCGTCCACGCACTTTAACGACAGAATAGCGAACGTTCCCTATATTGGTGTACATAACGAATTCAGTGGAAAGAAGATGTGGCCCCAAATTGTCTATAATTGACACCACACCAGAAGTTACTAAATTCGCAATCAGATCCACTATAGCCTATGAGGATCAACGTCCAGCAACAATCTTGTTCAATGGTGCGTGAAAATCGAAATAGTTGAATAGCACTGACTCATGAGGTACAGCTACTCAGAATGTGCCCATAAATGGCAAATATCCGAGTTATATTCATGCGCAGACACAAATGGAAGCGAGAACAGCGAAATCTAAAAAATGCAAAAAGCCACGACGCAAGGGGAGCCGAACCATCAACCCCACCCTCACTGTCCGATTGCGAAACCTCCACTCTATCCGCTAGGCCATCCGATGCTCGACTCTGTGCAGCGCTCTTATCGTTGATGAAACCATTGCAAGAAGCCGTTCACCCTTGAGCATGTGACCCAAGTTGGAAGCTCACTTGCGGCGATTTTTCGCTTCGATTCAAATAGCCCCTTTATAAGGACCCCCCACTCAGCAACTGGTCAAAGTTGCAAGTGACCTACGCCGTATAGAGGCCCAGAACGAAGCAGATTCCAAAGATTTCTTTTCACTCGTTTTTTACCTTTCCTGGAAGCGCGCAGCGAAAATGAAGCACACTTTTCAGGTCCTTGCATGAGCCCCTACAATATGCAAAAAACCGTTTTCGAAAAGCGCACCACGCCCTGAACGACCTCCCTTGTAAGCATATACTTCACGACAGTCGAAATTATTTCACTAGAGGCTGTCAGTCAAGAGAAGATGAATAACAGGAAGATCAGACCAAGAATAAATTCAACCTCTCTCAGAAAACAGAAGATGTGATAATATCAAGATAGTGGACAAATGCGCCCGAGAGTCCACTGTCTGACACCAGATATTTGGTGATGAGATGTACAGTGATGATGTGCAGTGCCTAACAAGATACGGATTGAACTGAAAATAAAAAGAGTGAGACGCTCATAGATACTCTGGTACTTTCAGGATGTGCAAGAGGTCCAACTCTCCTAGCCTACGTTTGAATGTCTTACTATCAGGCGACTGGAGTACCTGGGCCGGCAAAAGCTCAAACCACCTTGCACATCGGTAGAAGACATTATTGAAAGTTAACGAAAAGTTTTTGGAAAGAATCGGGGCATAGTGAAGGTTGAACCCACCCAGCCTCTCACTTGTTGGCCTGAAAATCCAATACTTACTCGCTGATAACTTTACCTCTTTTCGAAGCACTCGAAAACAGAACACTAAATCAGCCACGATCCTTCGATATTGCAAAGAATGCAGGGAAAAAGCTCTCAGGCGGCTGCTATAAGTAGGGATATCACTACGAGCTATACAGGATGTGGATCGATACCAAAGAAGACGTGTAAACAAATGTTGAACTCTTTCAATTTTAACTATGTCTTTCTTGAGAGAAGGACACCACACTTGCGAGCAATACTCTAAGTGTGGCAAAACATACGCTTTATAAAGGCGCAGAAGTATGAACGGATCTGAATTATGAACATTCCTTATTATCGTAAATAAGACGGAATACGCTTTCTTCACCACATGATCGATGTGGTTGGAGAACTTCAAGCTTGATTCGAAAAGAACTCCTAGATCCTTCACAGAATCACATCAGCATGACACCATTAACTATGTGGATGCGCCCTTCCCTATATGCATGACTAAGCACTTGTTCAGGTTTAGAGGAATATCCCAAAGACTCGCACATTCGCCCCACAGACTGTTTGAGCGCTTGCCGCATTTCTCGACTATTCTCATTGTCATACACCACATACAGTTTGATGTCATCAGCATAGATACGCACCTGGATGTCAGGAATAGTTCTGAGAAATTGGGGCAGCTCTAGGGTGTAAATCAGGAACAGCAGAGGGGATAGTACACCACCCTGTGGTACCCCACTGGTGCACGGAAACTTATTAGAGAAGCTAGTTCCCACCCTGACTGTCATGTTTCTGTCATGAAGGTATGACCTCAACCAAGCAAGTAGTTTGCTATGAACGCCGTGCCTTTGACATATCCAGATGAATGATATTTACCGATTTACCATGGTTGACAGCTCTGCACACGTCGAAAAAAGTATCAGTAAGGTTTGTACAAGTTGAAGCTCCGGGTAGGAACCCGTGTTGCTCACTGGGAATAAGTTTAAGTTTAGAGAACCAGGATAGGAACTTGTCGCGGATCATCTTTTCCATTACTTTGACCGGTGTGGGGGTAATACTTATAGGCCTAAAATCACAAACTGTTTTGGCATTGGAATGCTTTGGAATGGCCGTTATAATAGCTTCCTTCCATATCTTAGGCACCTCACCGAACATGAACGAGATATTAAACATGTGGGCCAGAGGTTTACATAAGGAATAACAACACTTTTTGAATACGATTTGAGGGATGCCATCCATAGGTTCACTAATAGAAGGTTTCAGGTTCTTCAGCACAGTGTAAACATTGAAAGGATGGAAATAAATATCAGGAAAACCACGTATGGAGTCATACGACCACTTTGGCTCGTCCTCAGCACTATTGTGGGCATCAGCAGTTAAAAAGACGCTAGCGAAGTACCTACCCAAAGCTTCAGCCTTTGCAAATTCGCTACAAAGCTTTGTTCCTGACTGATCCTCTAAAGCTGGAGAAGCGCACTTGGATTTCAACTTATTGCCAATGTATGAGTAAAGGCGCTTCAGTGAAGTTTGACGTCCAAGGCGACGCTCTAAACTTGCGATAAATTTCTTTAAATGGCGGTCAACATCGGAACACACTTTTTTGTATAGCGAACTGCTCAACGGGAATTCTAGGTCGCAGAATAGACGCTCTTTCTGAGTCAACAAATTTGTAATATGCGGAGGGTACCTAAGAGGGCGAGGCTCTCGGACTTTCATAGGGACAAATAGTGACAACGCATGATATAGAAGTCTGCAAAACCTTTGGTACACATCGTCCATTGAGACGTATTGGTCAAACAACGTGAGCCAGTCAACGGTAGACAAGTAACCGTCAAGACCTCTATAATCAACATTCAAGAAGTCGGGAAGAGGGACAGTGGAGTAACTCGAAGTCTCCCAGTACTTTGAAACGAACAATGGAGTGATCAGAGTTTGCCAGCGGAGACGAAGTCGTGACCTCTCTTATGTTGTTAAATGTCGACAACACTAAATCAAGAATGTTCCTGCCATGGGTTGGTAGAGAAACATGCTGTTCGAGGCCACTGCCTCGGAAGAACTTCAGAAACAAGGATGACTCTGCATTATGTGCATTCAGGGCTTTCCAGTCAACCAGAAGGTTGAAGTCACCTAGCATTATGGTGTTAGTATGAGTTGCGACAGTGTCACGAAGGACATCGATAAGTTCCTCATCCTCATTTTTGCTCATATTGGGTGGACGATACACGAGAATGAAGCGAATTCGTGAGGCATTGTGGGGACAAAGAAGGTCGACGCAGAGGACATCTGCTTTGTTAGGCGATGCACGGTCAACCGAATGAACATGGAGATTGCCTCTCACCAGACAGCAAACTCCACCACCACGGCGCTCCTTTCGGTCCAAACGATAAAGAAAATACGGGAAGTTTGTAACTATCTCGGAATCCAGAACATTTGTCGTAAGCCATGTCTCCGTGATGAATAGGAGATCGGGCTCATGTTGAAGGCATGCAGATGCTCTAATTTGTTGGATAAACTGCGGGCATTCAATAGGTAGCAGGTGAGGGTGGATTTACCGTGCGTCATAAACGGTTTCCCGAACTCCGAGGAGGAAGTTCCGACGTTCTTCTGAGTTGACCTTGGTAAACTACCCACTCACGAACGCTTTTACCCTTATTGCGTTCACGCGCTTCCTGGCGCAGGTCGTAGTCCCGCTTCCTTTCTTCCTCAGTCATGCTTCTGCGAATGTAGACATTCGTGAGAGCTTAGTTCCCGAGGAAACGCGCATTCGCAAGTGCACGGCGCCAGTGGGATCGAGAAGGAAGCACCACCTTAGGTTTGCCCATACGATAGGTTTCGCATAGACGGCACTCCACATCTAAGGCGTCGAGCACTTTAGACACCTTGCCCTCAAGGTCCGACTGACGTGCTGAAGGAGGGAGTTCGCCTTGTGCTTCCTCAAGACCTGCAATAACTATGCTACGCTCGCGTTTATCACCCTCTAGGAAGTCTGAAAATTCCTTAGGGATCTTCTCCGAAAGAGCTATAAGCATGTTTTCAATTGCAGGGTCTTGGTTGAGCTCAATGATGCTCTTTAATAACTCCATAGCCGACATGCTAGCAAAATTTGATGAGTCAGAAAGAGTGGTTTGCGTGCTTCTAACGCTACTGGAACCAGGAGCGAGCTGCGAAGAGCCATCAGAAGTTCTTTTCGAGCGTTGCACCTTAGGTGGCATTCTATTCGACCTTTGATCTACCCTATACTGAGTCGATATACTAGGTAACGCAACAGTATTAGCAAAACCAACCAAAAACGTTTTAAATGAAATGAAATCACTGCAAATCCTAGAACAAAGTAGTAAAATTCGAACTTTTAATTGAGACGGAAACGTAGTATGAAACTGTTAAAATAGAGAACACCAAAACCAAAAAAAAATTACAAAGGTTGAGCTCACGGAACGACCGCACCGGATGCATGCAGACGAGTTGTGTGATGCACGCAGACGAGTTGTGGAAAAAAGTCTTACGATGTCGAGGACGTTGCTTCTGAGGTTCGATGTTCGGCGAAATTGGCTGCCAGCGAAAGCACTATCGCCTTCTGGATCCTCGTGGTGATGAGCGATTTTCTTGATCATACTTCTTTCATTCCACCGCCACATCAAGATTCCCCATGCGGTCTGCTGTATCATATTCAGCTAGTTGATGGTAGTGAATTTATAAGGAAAGATATACCAGATACCAGCTCGCTATAGCTGTTCAAGATGAGGTCATACTACTAAATTTGTCTTCGGAAGCTAATTACAAATCTGACCTCCAAAGTTGCTGAGCGGTTCTGGGAACGAAGTTGGAGACCTTTCTCTTGTTTGCACTGTACGCGCTTGTATAACATGCTTCAATGGGCATTTCAGGTCTTGGAGAAGCAGTAATTTCCAGCAAGAATGGAATAGATAGAAGGGTGACGACCTGACAGAAGCAACGCCAAGGTTGGGATCCTCTGCGCGCATGACGGTTTTGCTTTGTTTGAAACGTATGTCAATCGCTTGCGAGACAGTTTTACAAATGAATCTAACTTTTTATAGCCTTTTTTTACTGACTCTGACTGAGCGCTAGGAGTGGTTACCGAAGAGGGGACCCATTTTGACTCTGAGCTGTTTGCGGCGTAGCGTAGCGCATTTTAGAGTTGTTTGACTCCAAATAGGTATGTTATTCGTGCTCCTCCCAAATCGGATTTGGACCCAACTTTGAAAGAGGGGAATAGTGAGGTGAATAACGAAACTCAGAGGTCCTAGCGCCAGCTAACTAGTAGTAGTAGAAGAAGAACAGCGAGCGAATTGATACCAGAGCTGTGGAGTTTCGCAAATAATGAGAACCCGGCTCCTAGATACAGTTTCCTTTTCAGAAGCGCGTTCGAGTGCCTGTTCAGTCTCGTCTCAAGATTAGGTTCCCAGATCGAGTTGATCCTTTGACCAATGTAAGGCGATACTGGACATTACTCCCAATCGCATTTTTCCAAAGTTAGGTCAAAACCTCGCAGCAAGCTCGCTAGTAATTTGTTCCTAGGGTATTTTGACCCGTACAACACGAACATCCCACACGTATGGCGCCAAAGACTCTGAAAGGCGCTACGCTAAACCCTAGGCTCTAGGGACAAAGCAGAATTCTCCTTCGGAGACCCTCCCCAGCTGTCAGCCAGAGCCCGTAAAGGGTACAAAAATCCAAAATGTCGCGAGAAGATGTTGCAAGGGTTGGTTCACGTTTCAAGGGCGCTTACGCACAACCAGCGGAGGCACGAAGGCCCGAGCTTTGGGGCTAATGCCGTTTGGACTCCAGCAACTTCGGCACCGAGCTCATTTTTAAATTACCTAAGTCGCCAAACCCGCTGAAAATATGTACACAAGGGTTATTTACCATCCTGATTACAATTATGACACGGGATGACACTACGATTACCTCTTGGGCTCAGCCTTAGCGGAGCGCAGGTAATCGTAGTGTCATCCATTAGCGCCAGCGGCAAGATTCGTAATCAGGATGTTAAACTACCCCTACATACAAGTTTTTAGCGGATTTGGCAATTTAAAAATGAGCTCGGTGCCGAAGTTGCTGGAGTCCAAACGGCATTAGCCGATTTGGTGCTCCCACCGTGAGACCTTTCATGCCGTTCGAACTGGCGTACTTGTTAGTTGTGACGTCAACGCATGCTGGTCGTGATAACCTCTGAAGCTGCAGGAATGCATTCCTGGCGACTAGATGTCGAAAGTAACTCTCCAGCCCACTGTATGTTGATTAGGTCTTTCTCGGGCGAATAACTGAAATGAATGAGAATGCGTTCTGGCACCTTTGAAACCCTCAGAATGGCTGAATCCTGCGCGGTGGCTCCTATCATACTCACATCGGCTTTTCCATTTCGAAGGCCCAGTCCTCTTTTATATCACGGAAAATAAGGTGATTCGTTCTAGCACATGAAAATAATTTCGGAGTGTACCTTAAAAGTCGAAAAATTTGAGCATTGGAATAGCCCGTAGACGTAATGAATAGTCGTTGCCAAAAAAAGTTATGCATGCAGCACTTCGTTTGGTTGCAAGCACTGCAAACTGCCTGCATAATTGAAGTGTTCAAACTTTCAAAATTTAAAGCGAACTGGTTCAGCGAGAAAAGCGTTATGCATGAAAAACCTTGTACCATAATTATGCAGCCTTGCTGTCACAACGAAGCTCAATAGGATGCCTTAAAGACACATGGTACGCTCAAACACATTGAGGGTGTATGAGACTATCAGCCCCCCAGCTGTCGATGTGTCGTGGTCCCCCGCCCAAAACTGCACGGGGTCAGAGTACGGGACCGTGGGAAAGTCGTAATTCCTTGCTACGCCGCCCGTTTTTGCAAACTCACGTTTTTACTAACACCGTCCGCGCGGCGCGGTCGCGTGCAGCTCTCTTGGCTTTTTGCCAAGTCCTGTAATTGCGCTTTGGAATACAAGTACAACGCAATTTCTTTATGCGGATAACATTTTAGGTTCTGCAAAATAAGAACTGAAGATGATGACGAGGGCTAGAACTCAAGAGCAACTGTGCTGCTTCTGCAACAGCCCTCGCAGGCCGCGCATTCCCACAAAACATCAAAATAAAAACGGCCTAAGCGTCCCACTCGTTAGTTTGAAGTATTAGGTTGTCCGGAAAGTTCTCAGCGTTTTGTGCACCTATTTTTTGTACATTCACTGCTGATTAAAAACTCATTCTGCCTTGCTTCTCAGTAGCACATCCTGTAGAGAATTTCTTGCGCTATCTGATGGTATAATTGCCGTTTCACCATTGCTTGATAAACCCCTTT